TGTCTCTGACATCTCCTCCAGCCTTTTGTCTGTGGGTGGGAGACCAGTCACAACACAATCAATAAAAACCTCCACTTCTTTCTCTAGTTGAAGATCTCCTGCAGAGGGTGGACCTCCTAGCGGGGCTCTGGACAGGGCATCGGTGGTGACTGATGGAGCACGGCGTCTCCACCGGGTCCGTGGATGAGAAGAGATTCACAGCTGACACGGGGAAAAGTTGCAAATCACCGGTTTATTGTCTGACAGATTGCAATCCGGGAGCGGCCGTCTGACATACATTCAGCATGTACAGGAGGAGGCTCTGCCATATGTATCAGCTGTATCCCTTTTAAAGCCCTTTGGGCATCTCCCCCCCCTTTCTCAGTACCTTCCGTCTACGTGACAACCACATGTGTGACTCTAGCCGGCTCGTAATTGTCCTTCTGGAAGGCTAAAAGATAAGTAGGGGCCGCTGATATTCTCTGTCGCCCCCCCTATCTGTTCCGATTAGGTAGCCTTGCCTTGCCGGGGCGCCAGTCAGTTCTCGTTTTGATTAGTTACAGCATTATAGAATCATTCCCTTTATTTTATTAATTATTCCCTCATGACCAGGTTCTTCCCTGGAACATGGATGATTTTGAATGAAAGGCACAGCAATCACAGGCAAAACCTCAAGATCTGCGGTGGAAGATCATCCAAGCCTCTTATGCTCAGTAGAGGAACCAGGGGCTTATGGTCTGTCATTAATGTGAACTGTAGACCCATTAGGTATGAAGAGAGTCTTTCACACGCCCATGTGACTGCCAGCGCCTCCTTTTCAATTTGCACATAGCGCCTCTCAATGTCCATTAGTCCCCTTGAGATGTATGTCACCGGTCGCCACGAACCATCAGTCTGTTTCTGTGTAAGTACAGCCCCAATACCGTATGCCGATGCATCAGCAGCAACTCTTGTGTCTGCTGTGTTGGAATACTGAGCAAGTACTTCTGGAGAACTTAATATATCCCTTAGTCTCAGAGCAGCTGTGTCACACCCCGCTCCGTCCGATCCTAATGTGTGCCCCGCCCCCTCGTTAACCTCATGTGGAATCCCAGTGTTTTACAGCTGTTTCGGATTGTTGTCATTAGTTCAGTGTATTTAGTCCGCGTTTCCGTTTGTATCCCGAGTTCGGTCATTGACGTTGTCATGTTGTGTGCTTGGTGCTCTGTGTGCTGCCATTAAAACCCGTATTCCCCGATCCCTGGCGTCCGTTCGCCTGCTTCCCCGATCCGTGTTGCACGCGACGTAACAAGCTGTCTCCTGGGGTTCTGCCCATATCCATTCATTTCCCTCTTTCTGCAGCTCTTTCAGTGGTGTGGTTATCGTGGCCAGCTGGGGCATAAACTTTGCAAGATAGTTGGCCCATGAGACGTCGCATGTCTTCCACACACTTAGGCTGTGGCAGCTGCTGGATTGATTTACTTTACTTTACTTTATGGGTCTGGCTCGATGCCGTTTCTTTCAACTTTGCGACCCACAAACATAATTTCTGTCTTTGAAAACTGACATTTCTCATTCAGAGTGAGACCCTCCTCTTGAAACTTCTGTAGCACCCGGTGCAACCTCCTGTTGTGCTCCTGTCTGTCTCTATCGTACACGAGAACATCATCAGCATGACAGATTTTACAGTAAACTGGTTAAATTTGCAGACGACACCAAGGTGGGTGGTGTAGCAGATACTGATCTAGCAGCAGAGAGGCTTCAACAGGATCTGGATTTAATTAGCGACTGGGCTGATACCTGGCAGATGAAATTTAACACAGATAAATGTAAGGTAATCCATGCAGAGAGCAGAAATAAGAAGTACAGATATTTTATGGGTTCCACTGAAATAAAGGT